CCGGGGGAAGATTTCTCACTTTCCCTCTTTCTGGCAAGTACATGTGCCCTGTGGCCAAAACATAAGACTCTGGGATCGTCGAGACATGGGTTTGAACCCTGAGTCTGCCGTTATCTCTGTACCCTCTTTTTTTTGTTTTTTTTTCCACTCACCAGAGGGGAAGAGAGAGAGAAAACAGCCTCCAGCTAGACATGGTCACTCCTCATTCCCTTCTCCACCATTTCAAATGTGCCAGTTTTTTCTTTTCTTTAAAGAATTATTTTTTTATTTATACTTACTGTTATTATTTTTAACTTGACTAGAGAGGGACAGAGAGAGGGCGGGAAAATGAGAAAGGAAGCCGCCAGATCCAGGACTTGAACCGTGGTCGACCATGTGGGAATCCAGGGCCGTTGTCTATCTCACCACCTGCCAGTCCCTGTTTTTGTTTTTGACAGAGCTATGGGCCATGTTCATTGCCAGAGCGAGACAGAAAAGCTGGGGGTGAGTGGGGGTGGCCACCTTTCAAGTTGTCTGGGCTGGATTCGAACCTGGGACAGCCAAGTGGCATCTGACTCCCTTAACCGCTGGGCGATGTGGGTCCTGTAGCTCCCTTCCTTAGTGTCCTCTCCTGTGGAGCAGGGATCTGGGTACGGATGTGGCAAAGCCGGGCTCTGGACTCACATAGTAGCTCACCAAGGGACCGCTGTCAATGGAGTTCTGGTGCCCTAGGTCCCGGCTGGTCTCCTGGCGGTCCATACAGCCTGGGATCATCATGCTCTTGGAGCAGGGTCCAGACTCGGGCCGTCCAGGCCTCACGTGCATGCATCTTGCAGGCCCAGGCCCTGGCTCGTGCCCGCCCACCGACTTCCAGTGCCGCACCAGTGGCTTCTGTGTGCCCCTGACCTGGCGGTGCGACAGTGACTGGGATTGCGCTGACGGCAGCGATGAGGAGGAGTGCCGTGAGTGGCCACGCCCGGGGGCGGAGCTTGGGGCGGGGCCTCGGGAGGGAAGGTTGGAAGCCTGGGGCCAGGTACATGGGCGGGGCTTGGAAGGGGGCCGGTCACAGGGATGGGCGGGGCTGGATCTGAGGTTAAAGTGGAGTCTAAGGTGAGCTTGTAAAATGATCGGACTGGTCGAGTGTTGGGGGAGGCGCTTGCAGGGAGGCCAGCCTGTGGAAGGTGGGGCCACCAGGAGCAGGGGCGGAGCTTTTAGACAAACTTTGCATATTCAGACATTCTTAGAAAGCCGGGCTTGCAGGGAGCTGGGTGAGGGGAACGGGTGAGTCGTCTTGCGTGAGCGCTTGGAACCTGACCGACCTGTGCCCCAGGGATCGAGCCGTGTGCCCAGAACGGGCAGTGCCCACCATCCACTGGCCTCCCCTGCTCCTGCGACAGTCTCAGCGATTGCCCGGGAGGAGCCAGCGGGGACCGTCACAACTGCAGCCACCGGTCCTGCCCGCCAGGGGAGCTGCACTGCGCGCTGGGTGATGCCTGCATCCCGCACACCTGGCGCTGTGACGGCCACCGGGACTGTCCCGACGCCAGTGATGAGCTTGGCTGTGGTGCGTGCCCTGGGACCTGAGCCTACCCGTAGGGGTGAGGGGCACTGGTGGTTAGACCCGGACACCTGCCACTGCGGACAGACTGGGGGCGTGGACTCGTGCTCTGCAATGCCTGTGTCCCCGTGGGGGTAGCGAGAAGTATGGTGGAACCGGTTATCACCAGCTCCGGCCAGTCTGTGGTGGAGGATGAGCCATGGGGGCCCCTGGTGCATCCCCTGTGCCCTGCGTGCCCCGCTCCCCAGCTACTGAATGTCTGGGTCGTTGCAGGAACCGACGTGACGGTCCAGGGTGGGAACACCACAACCACAGAGACCCCCGTGTCCCTGGAGAATGTCACCTCCCCTGGGAATGCTACAGCCTTCTCTATTGGGGACCAGTCTAGAAAATTAAGTGCCTATGGTGGTATCGTAGCTGCTGGTAAGATGACTGACCCTCCCCTCCCCTCCCCTCCCCTCCCCTCCCTCCCCTGCCAGGCTCTGAGCCCTGGGAGCAGGGCACTTGCTTGCCTGCATCTGGGTAGTTTAGGAAGAGCCGAGGTTTACTCAGCTCACTGTTTTGGAGACCGTAAGGTCACGGGGCTGCCTCGGGTAACGTGGTGGAGTGTGTCTTATCGGGAGAGGCCAGGAGCTTGAGCAGAACTCGTCTCTGTCTCATTTTCTGTCTACGTCATCCCAGCAGGGTAATCATGGGAACCCCACTCCGATGACCTTAATCCTAATCACCTCTCAAAGGCCCTATGTTTTTATTATTATTATTATTATTGTTGTTATTGTTTTTAGGTTTTTGCCATAGGGTGCGTGCACTTGTTGGAGAGACAACATACTGAGAGGGAAAGTGAGAAATCACCCCCCGGGGGAACGGCCATGTCACAATCCCTTCTTCTTTCTCCTCCTGGGATTTTGGGCATGCACACACATGTGCCTGGCAAGACTTTCAAGCTGCCAGGTCCGGGACTTGAAATGTGGCTGGCCATGTGTGAGTCCAGTGCCTTAACCCCTAAGCCACTTGCTGCCCCCCCCCTTTTTTTTTTCAAAGAATTATTATTTTAACTCTATTGTTATCATTATTATTGATTTGCTATAGGGCATGTGCATTCACCAGAGAGAGAAAGAGGGAAAGTGAGAGAGCAGTTCCCCAGTTCCGGGACTCAAACTGCAGTCCGCCACGCGGGAGTCCAGCACCTTACCCAGCACGCCACCTGCTGGCCCCACCTCTTAATCCCATTGTCAGATTAAGTTCTCACCTTTCTTTTCTAATGGCCAGAGAATATATGTGCTCCCCAGAGAGGGACAGAGACAGAGACAGAGAGAAGAGGGAGAGGGAGAAAACACTCCCTCATGGGGCATGGTCATGCCACAATCCCTTCTCCATTTCTTCATCCTGTCGGGATTTGGGGCACGCATGGACACACACCTGGCACATCCTTTTTTATTCTTAAGTTTATTTATTTCACTTTTTTTTCTTTTCTTTTCCAAAGACTTATTTATTTAATTCCATTTGTTAGTATTATTTTTTAATTTAACCAGAGAGAGAGAGACAGGGAAAGTGAGAAAACAAGCCGCCAGGTCTGGGACTTGAACCATGGTCGACCATGTGGGAATCCAGCACCCTTATCTACTACACCACCTGTCGGCCCCTATTTACTTCACTCCTAAGTGTGTGCAGGAAAGAGACAGGCACCCTCAGCAGGGTCTCCTCTGGCTGAGATCCCCCTCCGCTTCCCCCAGCCCTCCAGACAGGGTCCTTGGCATGCCTGTCCCTGGCGTGTTTCACGTTGACTCGGGTTCCAGACCCGGGCTGGCCACGTGGCTTCCCACCCTACAGTTCAGGCACTGCCATTGGCGCTGCTGAAGCGAGACTTAGTTCCCGCCCCCTAAGCCCCGTCTCGGGCCAACGTCATCACGTGGATTTGTGGGGGATGCTTTTAGACCATAGCCAGGCTCCCACAGCGTCCCACTGTCCTGTCCGTCCCTCCACAGCGGTGCTGAGTGCCAGCCTGGTCGCGGTCGCGACCCTCCTCGTGCTGTGGCGGCTCCGAGCCCAGGGGCGTCTGGCCCCACTGGGGCTGCTGGTGGCGGTGAAGGAGTCCCTGCTGCTGTCAGAACGCAAGACCTCGCTGCTCTGAGGACCAGCGTATGCCACCATGTCACCGCGGTCCCCAGTACAGCTAGGCTGGAGAGGACGGCGCTGGGGACGTGAAGGCGGCTCTGGCCCACGGGACCTGAGACTCAGGGTTTTCTAGCCATGTGGAACTTTGAACCCAAGCTCCTGCAGACATGGCTCCAGGGGTTGGGGGCCCCTGGGTGCACCGCCTGGACATGGGGAGCTTGGAGGGAGTGACACACCACAGCCGGAACCGAAGGGCTGGCCCCAGACTGCTGCGGGGCAGGACGGCCCCACGCCCACACACTCCTGCTTTCTTCTGAGGGTGGAGATTAAAGCTGTCCCACGTCCTCCTGCTGCTTTCTCCTGAGGGTGGAGATTAAAGCTGTCCCACGTCCGCTCGCCCCGGGCCTCTGTGTCTCTCAGTCTGGGCAGCCTGGGGGCTCTGCTGCAGCCCAGAGAGGGTGGGACTCAGACCCAGTCCTGGGCGTCCCCTCAGCCACTCTGCCTCTTGTCTCCTGGAGGTAGGGAACAGTGGGACTGGGGTGGTGAGGCGGTCTGCTCTCACAGCTGGCTTCTTGGAAGAGGCACACTCAGGCGGCACCTCCCTGTTCCCCAGGTGGGGGGATCCCCACCCATCACGGCGTCTGAGATGGTGAGGTGGAGGCTGGGTGTCCCAGCATGGGGCTTGCTTCCACTCTGCTCTGTTATTTAGGTTTATTTATGTCGCTCATGAGAGAGGGTGTGTGGGCACGTATGTGTGCAAGAAGGAAGCACCCCCTTGGGCCAGCAGTTGGTGTAATGGCTGTGTTGTTGGACTCCCCTGTAGTCAACTGCTTGGAGCTACGTTGACCACCACATGGCCCTGGGCGGCCCAGCATGGAGGGGACGGAAGGGACTTCCCAGGGTCTCAGGCTCCGATGGCTGGCAGGCAGTGAGTTGGTCCTTGGGATGCAGGTGAAGAGGGGGGGACAAGGTTCCCGGAGCAGGAGAGGTTTGGTGTTGGGACACCCCCCCACGGGAAGGTGAATGAGGGGGGTTTCGGAGTCTTGGCCTTGGGACAGCGTTGTGGTCGAGGCTGCAGTTAGGGTGGGGGGACTCGGCCCGAGGCAGGGCCTCCTGGGTACAAGATCCCCCCTCCTCTCAGCAGACAGGAACGGGGCCTTTCAGCGTGGCCCCACTCTGCGTCCTGTGCTGGGCAGAGACATCCTGCCGCGGAACGGAGCCGTGGAGGGCTTCTTGCGGTTGCTAGGGAGTTAGGAATGAAGTAGGATTTTTTCTTTTAGGTATTGTCTGAATCTCTGCTCAGGCATGTGTGGGCCGAGAGACTGCCACCGGGTGCCACCAAAGGTCCTCTCCAACCTGGAGCCTGTTTGGGTTCTCAGTTCTTAGAGGAGCAGAGCCACCATGGCCGGGTGGCTCAGCAGGGCTCGCTGGCGGATCTGTGCCCCACGTGGTGGTGGCCGCCACCAGGGTGGATGGCTGGGACAGTAGGGCCTCTCCATGAGGCCTCCCAAGCAGGGTCCCCTGACCCCTTCCTTGGTGGCAGAGGGCTCCCCAAAGTGCAAAGCAGAAGTACCAACCAGCATTGCTTTTTTTCTTTGTTTTGGAGGGGGGTGAGATTTTTGCAACAGGGCACATGTGCTCGCTGGAGAGACAGAAAGCAAGACCTCCCCCTCCCCCTGGTGGGGGGGAACAGCCATGCCACGATCCCTTCTCCATTCTTCTCTCAGAACCTTGGGCACATACGCACGCGACTCCAGCATGAATTTTAAACCACTGGGTCCAGGACTCAAACCGTGGTCGACTATGTGGTATCCAGTGATGTAAACATCATGCCACCTGCAAGATTATTTTAATTTGCCGTAGGGCGTGTGCACTCACCAGAGAGGGAGAGTGAGAAAGCAAGTCGCCAGGTTTGGGACTTGAACTGCAGTCGGCCATATGGGAGCCCAGTGCCCTAATTACCTGCTGCCCCCCCCAGCATCATTTTTTTAAAAAACAAATATTTAAGGGAACCAGCAGTTAGCGTAATGGCTATGTCGCTGGACTCCCACGTAGTCGACCGCGGTTCGCGTCCCGGACCCGGTGGCTTAAAACTCACGCCAGGCGTGTGTGCGTGCGTGCCCAAGATCCTGAGAGGAGAATGGAGAAGGGATTGCGGCGTGACCATCCCCCCTGGGGGGTGATTTCTCGCTTTCTGTCTCTATGTCTCTGTCTGTCTGTCTGGCAGCGCGCGCGCCCTACAGTGAAAAGCTCTCCCCCCCCCAAAAAAATTTAATATTATTTATTCATTCATGCATTTAAATTTGACCAGAGAGAGAGAGAGAGAGAAAGCAAGAAAGCAAGCCACCAGGTCCGGTATCTTAGCCACCACACCACCTGCTGGCCCCTCAAGCATCACTTTTGCATTTTACTGACTCCCGAGTCAGCCCAGATCTGGCGTGTGGGTGTGTGCCGGGTCGGCAGCCATGTGAGGACGGGAACAGCCGGAGGCCCTCCTGGCAGAGCAGCCATCACAGACAGGGCAGAGGGCACGAGTGAGCTGGGACGAGGCAGCTGCAGTGGAGGTGCCCCGTCCCCTCGAGCCACCTACACGGAGCAGGTGACTCTGTTTTCTCAGCCTGGCTTGGTCACCTGTGCAGCGGGGCAGTCATAGCCCGACATCTGTCACGTGCGAGCACGCGGTGGGGAGCAGGGCTTGCCCTGTGCTGCAGGCTGACCATGCCGTCCCAGGTGACCGGCCTGCAGGTCACTTCCAGGAAACCGCAGGTTTGAGAGGGAGCTCTGAGGGTTCGGACCTGGGACCTGAAGAAGTTCCGCTCCCTCACGCCAATACCCAGCCTGGGGCAGGGCCCCCCATCCTTATGGGGTCCCCCTTGTCCTCCAGACACTGAGGAAGCACAGAAACTCCGGGTGTCGCAGGTGCAAGCTTCGGGGGTGCTCAGTAAATTCTGAATGGGCTCAAGGTGTCCAGGAGGCCGGGGACCCAGGGAGCTGTGGAAAGATGGGGGAAGGCAAGGCCATGTGTGTGTTTGACTCTTGCTATTCCTCTTTTTTCGAGGGAAATTCACATAATGTTACATTAACCATTAACCTTTTTCTAAAAAAAAAGAATTATGTTTATTTAACTTTATCATTTTCCAGTTTGATCAGAGAGAGGGGGCGGGAAAGTGAGAAAGTAAGCCACCAGGTCTGGGATTTGAACCACAGTTGGCCATGTGGGAGTCCAGCTCCTCCAACCACCATGCCACCTACTGGTCCCTCATTAACCTTTTTAAATTTTTTTTTTAAAAGAATAATTTTGGGCCAGCAGTTGGCGTAATGGCTATGTTGCTGGACTCCCATGGAGTCGACCGTGGTTCGAGTCCCAGACACAGTGGCTTAAACTCACGCTGGGTGCGTGTGCGCCCAAGATCCTGAGAGGAGAATGAAGGGATTGCGGCATGGCCATCCCGGGGGTGGGGGTGGTTATTTCTCGCTTTCTGTCTCTGTCTCTCTGGTGAGCGCATGTGTCCTCTAGCAAAAACCTCTAAAACACAAACACACACACACACACACACACACAAATACTAGAAGCAGACTGCCACCCGCTGTCCCAGATCAAAGGTAACACATCCCTGTTCTGGGTTTTGCGTTTGATCCTTTTCTGTTTATTATCGTCCTGCTAGATGGTTTCTCATGCCGAGACCGCATCGTTTCATCGGAGTTGCTTCTCAACTTTTATCAAAGGTGAACGGTTTTGCACGAGGCTTCCCAAAGGGGTGGTCCCAGTTGATAGCCCCCCACACACAGTGTAGCTGGGATGGCTGTCAACAGACCCGCACCCAGTGCTTTCAGGCTCCTGGGGTTCCTGAACAGGGCCGACCCAAAGCCTGCGGGAATTTAAGCCCTTCCCCCGGGAGCCTTTTTCTTGTGGGACCAGAATACAGCGTTCTGGCCGTCCGGCTGCAGAGCCGCCGCATGGCCTCCAGCTGCTCCTCCTGCTTGGGTTCCGGACCTCTATGGGACCTCTCTGAGCTCAGGGCCTTCTCTGTGAGCCCGTCTTTAAGCAGCTGGCCTCTGGCCCAGTACTGCCCTGGGGTGGAAGTGATGGCTGCTCTGCAGGGCTGGCTGGAAGGTCAGGGACGCACCTAGGGCAGGGGAGGGGACCCGGCGTTGGGCTCCTGTCCTAAGGTGTGGCAGTGAGTTTGGGGCCGCGGGGCAGTGAGCAGAGGCCTGGCCCCCTTGGGGTCTCGGGACAGGGACCCAAGTTCTCCGCAGCGGCCGAGGGGAGGAGGGACGGCGGGCCCGAGGCAGGGGTTGGAGGCAGATCATCAGCCCTCCCGCGCAGGGCGCATGTCGGGCGGGCCCTCCTTGTCTCCGTTGCTGGCCCCAGGGCCGCCAGCCCAGCCAGGCCACGGTCGTGGGCGCGCGGCTATGTGGCCGGCGTGTGCCCGTTGGCCCGCCGCCGAGGGCCATTGGAGGGGGCCGCCCCCGGCCCCCCAGCTACCCCGTTCTTCAGCTGCTGGCACCCCTGGGCCTCCTCGCCCTCGCTGGAATCCGACTCTTCCACATCGCTGCGAACGTCCTTCTCCATCTGGGGGACGGGGAGGAAATAAAGTCAGAGCAGGGAAGCGGGGGTGGGGAGAGGCACACGAGCCCACCCTGGCCCGGCCCTACCTGGCCCTTCTTCGTGAAGCTATAGAGCATGCGCAGGATGAGGCAGGACCAGAACACGTGCAGCAGCTGCAGCATCAGAAGGAGGGTGTTGAAGAAATAGTAGCCGAAGAAAGGCCCGTGGTTGATGATGGATTCGTAGTATGTGGTGTAGAGAATCCTGCAGGGAGGAGGCGGGGAGGGCGGGGCTTCACCAGCAGCTGCAGACCCCACCCCTAGGAGCCTCGAACTTGCAATGACCTACCTCACTCTGGAACCTGCTATGGCTCCCCAGTGCCCCCATGTGATGCCTACGTTCTGCAGCTGGGCCTTTAAGGCAGGCATCTGCTTAATTTAAGTCAGCGTATTCAGCGGCTCACTGGCCGCTCAGGATCATGAACCCCAGGGGGGCATTTCCGATCCGGATTCCGGATTCTTTCACACTTCCACATCTGCCCTCAAACTCTCAGGACCTCACCCCCAATAGCAGGTCACTTGCTTTCTCACCCAGATAGAATGTTCCTGAGAGCAAGCCCTCCCCACCCCGCACCGCCTGCAGGTACTTAGTGGGCCCTCCCCTCTCCCTGAGGTTCCTCCTCCTCGTATTTCAGGGACCCCCACTCCTGTTTTCCCACCTCCTAGGCTGCTCCCATCCACTGTGTTCTGTAAGACAGCAGGGAGCCCACAACTGTCCGGACAGTCCCGCTGTCACCATCCACAGCCGAGCTCCTCGCGGCCACCAGGGGGCGTCCTGAGCACCCGAGTGCTGGCGCCTCTGCCTGGAACGCTCTCCCCATCCCCATCTCTGTATGAACGCATTCCCTGGGCACCCCATTTAATTCCAGCTCCTTCCCCACTTCGTCTTCTCCTGACTGGGCTTACCTTGTTTACGGTCTGCTCCTGCCCCCCTCGGCCTCACCCTCTTCCCTCTGCTCTGTCTCCTGCACCCGGCCTAGCTCAGAGGCTCAACCAATATACACCGGGCAGAGCCCTTAGCAAGTTAGTGCCCCGACCCCTGTCCCACTCCACGTTCCAGACACACTGGGTCATCGTGGCTGGGCCCCGTCCGCTGTCACCTCTGGGTCCTTGCACATGCTGGGCCCTGTGCCAGGCACGCCCTTCCCTGCCTCCTCCTGGAGGTGGCCCTGCCACCATCTCCAGCTCTCTGGGGCCTGGGAGCACAGACGCGCCCTCCCACCTCCCTGAGCCTCCTGCCACCCTGACTCTGCAAGGAAGGCCAACTCACTGGGTGGGGAAGACCACCAGGCGGGTGTAAAGGAAGACGCAGGAGAAGACGAGGAAGAAGGCGTCGCACACCTTCTGCAGGCGCGCGTAGTGGAACATCTTACAAGCCTGCGAGGGCACGGGAGAGAGCTCAGACAGGCGCAGGGTGGGGAGGGCCGAGGCCAGGCAGGGGGAGGCTTCGATTCACACAAGTAGCGCCGCCCAGGGCCTTATGTCCCGGTTGCCCCAAAGGTGAGGAGGCGGTGGTGGGTGCGCGCATGCGTGTGCCCCTGTGGCTGCAGTTTCATTTCCCAGGCAGCTGGGAGGGGCGAGGCCCCATCCCTCCAGGAGGCTAGGAAAGGGGCGGGGCTTTGCATCCCAGGGGCTCTGAAAGGGGCGGGGCGTCGTCTCCCAGGGAGGATGGCAGACAGCCTGTTCTAGTCTGGTTAGGAATGGGAGTTGGTGTCGGGACCAGCAGAGGGCGTAGTGGTTACATCGATGGATGACGTAGTCAACTGCAGTTCAAATCCTGGATCTGGCAGCTTAAACTCACCCCGGGCGCGAGTGCGTGCATGCCCAAAATCCCAAGAGGAGAATGGAGAAGAAGGGATTGTGGCATGAACACTCCCTCTGGGGGGTAACTTCTTGCTTTCTGTCTCTTTTTCTCTTTCTGGTGAGCGCACACACCCTATAGCAAAAACCTCTCCAAAAGGGACCAGCAGTTTGCATAATGGCTGTGTTGCTGGACTCCCAGACTCCCATGCAGGCGACCCCAAGGGCAGGGCCTCATCTCCCACGGAGGCTGAGAGGGATGGGGTCTCATCTCCCACCGAGGCCAATGAGTGGGGCCTCCCGTCCTGGGGGAGATGGAAGATGGAGGCACAAGGCCTGATCTCTCCGGGCACCGGGACGGATGGAGGACTGGCGGCGCGCGCGGCTCACCTCCAGCAGGTAGTCGGAGGCATCGTGCAGCAGCAGCACCAGGGAGCCGATGCGCAGCAGGTTCGAGCTGTAGGAGAAGGTGATCAGGAGGACAGTCACGCAGTGGTGCACCACCTGCTCCTTGAAATCCTGCAGGAGAGGGCGTGTCACGGCCCGCAGAGGCTCGATGGCCGCAGGGACCCTGCCCCATGGACTGGGAGTGGGCGCTCTCCCAGGGAGTCGGCATTGCCTCTGGGCCCCGTGGACTCCAAGCCTGCTCTGGGAGACACCCCGGGACCTCAGAGCGTGGTGGTAAGGCCGCTCCGCCCCACCCAGCTCCCCATCCAGGGGCTGGGCCACGGCTCCCCCAGCGTCAAGCCCTCTGCCGGCCCCTCGGCCTGGCCTCACCTTGCGCTTGGTGTCAAAGGGCAGCGTGATTAGCAGGGAGTTGTAGAAGCTGAGTTCCAGGAGGTACCACCAGTACAGGGCCGGCTTCAGGGGCTGTGGAGGGCAGGGCAGGTCTCAGGGCCCTCCCATCCGCGGGTCTCAGTGTGTGAGGGAGGCGTGAGCTCCCCGTCCCCGGAGGTGCTCAGGGCTCTGGTTTTCCCGCCTCCTGGCCCCTCTCTCTTCCACTGGGGAGATTAAGATAGCCAAAGGGGGCGCCAGCAGGTGGCGTGGTGGTTAAGGTGCTGGACTCTCACACAGCGCCCTGAGGTTCGAATCCTGGACCTAGTGGCTTGTTTTCTCACTTGCCCTCTCTGTCTCTGGTGAGCACATGGGCACTATAGCAACCTTTAAAATAATAAGTAAAACAAAATAGGGACCAGCAGATGGCATCATGATTATGTCACTGGACTCCCACATGGTTGACTGCGGTTCAAGTCCTGGACCTTGTGGCTTCAAACTCATGCCAGCTGCGTGTGTGTGTGTGTGCGTGTGCACTCAAGATCCCGGGAGGAGACTGGAGGAGAAGGGATTGTGGCGTGGCCATCCCCCCTGGGGGGTGATTTCTTGTTTTCAGTCTCTCTGTCTCTCTCTGTGTCTTTATGGCGAGCGCACGTGCCCTATAGCAAAAACCTCTCCAAATTACAGTTCAAGTCTCAGAACCAGTGGCTTTAGAAACATGCCCGGCATGTGTGCATGCATGCCCAAAATCAAAATCCTGAGAGGAGACAGGAGATGAAAGGATTGCGACGATTCCTCCCCCAGGAAGTGACTTCTCATTCACCCTTTCTCTGACTCTCATGAGCATTTGCAAAAGCAAAAAAAAAAAAAAAAAAAAAGAGCGGGGCAGGGGAAGTCCGTGGTGTGATACCCAGGTCTGGGCCTCACGTGTGTGGCTATGAGAACTCTGATCGCCCTGACCCTCTGAAGCCCCGTGGTCTCCCCGCCCCCCACCTGGTTCGGGTAATTCTCCCAGCACTTCACAGGCGTCCACAGCCATGACTCCTGCAAGGGAACAGGGGTCCTGGGCTGTGGAGAGCGGGGGCCGGCCTCCCCCCACCCCCCGTGGGTCTGGGCCTCCAGGAGCTGCTGGGCCCTACTTTTCCCACTCACACCTTGCCTCTCACTCTCGCCTGGGGGGCCTTGTTCACTGCAGAACCCCCATGTCCCAGTGCCCTCGCCAACAGCAGGCAGGTGTACTCACGGGGTACAGCACCGCGAAGCCACCGACGAAGGTGCACAGGTAGAACAGGAACCGCCAGCTGCAGGGATGGAGCCCGCGAGGCGGGGGCTGGGAGAGCAGACACCTCCCCACGGCCCCACAGCGCCCCCTCCCGCCTCACCCCGCGCTTACCTGGCCTCACAGAACTTCTTGCTCAGGCAGGGCCGGTCCTGGTTCCGGCGTCTCCGGAACCAGCGCTGGGTCGCCCGCAACGAGAGGCCACACTGAGCAGCCAGGAGGGCCATCTGGGGCTGCGGAGGAGTGACGGGGGCTAGGGTCACAGGCCAGGGGTGGTGTCTTGTCCCTGTCCCCGCACAGGCGAGATTTGGTTGTGCTCTCCCCTCCCCTGCAGCCCTGGGTCTGCCTATGGCATAGCCCCGACTAAGGAGAGGGAGTGGGGGGGCGTCAGAGTGGGGGCCCCCAAGACACTTCGCCTTCTGAGAGCAAGTCCCGCTCAGGGCAGGCACTCACTGAGGAGGACCATGAAAGGGACTGGCTTTTTCTATTCTAGTCCAGGAATCAATCGGCCTAGGCTGGTAGGGGCGGGGCCTCGTCTCCAGGGGAAAAGAGCAGGGGCGGAGCCTAGTGAAAGGGGTGGGGCCTCATCGCCAACTGAGAAGGATGGGGGCGGGGCCTTGCCTCCAGGGCAGGACAGGGGTGTGGCCTGGTAGAGAGGGGCGGAGCCTCATCACCAAGTGGGAAGGGCAGGGCGGACCCTAGTGGAGAGGGCGGGGTCTCACCTTCGGGTGCAATAAAGGGGCGTGGCCTAACGGGGTGGGGCCTCATCTCCAGGGGAGGGTAGGATGGGACCTGATGGACAGGGATAAGGTCTCACTTCGTCCGGCCTCTGCCCTTCCGTGAGGAAGTGTTTCTCCAGCGTGTCGTTAGGCTTCACGGGCTTCCTGGTCTCATCCGGCACCCCCAGCCACCGTCCCAGGGGTATGCCGACGAATCTGGGTGCAGGGGAGACAGAGCCCATCAGCCCAGGTGGGAAGGCACAGCATTGTCGGGGGATGGTGGAGGGGGCCCGTATAGGTGGGGAAACTGAGGCTCAGAAGGGCCAGGTTACCGGCCAAGGGAGCGCAGCAGACACACGTGGTTGTGTAAGACCCCCTGGGGTGTGTCTGCTCCATCTGAGAAGAGGAAGGGAGCTCAAGGGGCAGGACTCGAACTTCCCACGTGTACTCTCAGCCTCCCACTCCGGCGCCCTGAGGGGTGCACCTTAGCAGCCCTAAGAAAGCACGCCCGATTGGTCACAGGATAAGGGTGTGCAGGCCAATTCTTGGGGTACCCAGATTCCTTCGCCAAACCCAAACCGTGTCTCGGGGTGGCCTGAGTCCTGGCCTGCCACCTACCAAGCTGGGGACCCCCACGGGCAGGGACAAGTCCAGCCCTCTCTCGAGGCCCCAAGCTCGGAGCATGTACTCCGGAGTTAGCACGGGGAGGCGGGACCCTGGTCACTCACCGACTGCCCACTAGGGGGCGCCCTAAGACCACGAGTGAGAACCAAAGCACAGCCTCACGAACCCGGTATCACCCCACCACTCTTTCGGGGAAACTGAGTCCCAGAGCAGCCTACCGCAGAGCTCATTTCGGACTTAGTCATGATGGGGAAGAGCGAACAGGCGTTCAGTGAGCGCTTACTGTCTGCTAAGCGCGGGGCCAAGTCCGGGTGATGCTCTGAGACGTGCTTAATTGTTACTGTGGTCCCGTTTGTCCCGATGGGTAAACTGAGGCTCAGGGTGGGCCAGACACATGTCTGAGGTGACACAGGGAGTGGATGGCAGGCCAGGAATCTGAACCTGGGAATCTCCCCACCCTTTCTGTAAAAGTTTGCCATAGGGCACGTGTGCTCTTCCCGGAGAGAGAGAGAGAGAAAGAGAGCGCGAGCGAGCGAGTTGGTCAAGGATAGACGCAGTGAGGACAAGTAAACTACTCAGAGCCGTGTTTGGCATGGAGTAAAGCCCTAAAAGGGAGTTTGTGGGGACCAGCAGATGGTGTAATGGCCACGTCGCCGGACTCCCATGGAATTGACTGCAGTTCGAGTCTCAGACCCGGTGACTTAAACTCACGCCGGGCGTGTGTGCGTGTGTGCCCAAGATCCCGAGAGGAGAATGGAGAAGGGACTGCGGTGTGGCCATCCCCCCTTCCGGCCCCCACCCCATTTCTTGCTTCCTGTCTCTCTGTCTCTCTCTCTATCTCTTTGGGGAAGCACACGTGCCCTGTAAGAAAAAGATCTCTTTGGGGCCGGCAAGAGGCATGGTGGTTAAAGGCGCTGGACTCCCACATGGCCAACCACGGTTCAAGTCTCGGACCTGGTGGCTTGCTTTCTCACTTTCTCTCTCTCTGTCTCTCTCTGATCAAACTGAGAAATAATAATGATAATTATAATAAAGTTAAATAGAATAATTCTTTTTTTAAAAAAAAAAAAAAAAAAAGGAGCCCTAAGGAGGCAACGGGCAGGGAGAGGGGGAGTGGCCAGGTGTCTCTTCACTTAGTGACAGTTGCCACTGCGGCTGGCCTGGGTCAGAGAACAGGGCGATCGTCCCCAGGGTCTCCCACCTGTTTTACGAAGTGGCTCTGCACTCAGACCCGAGCTACACCCAGTGTTTGGGGACAGTGGACTGCGGGTGGCAGCTGGGAGCGAGCTGGCACACCTTGCGCGGCGCAGGCAGGGACGCTCGCACGAGGACACTCACCTCTCGAAGGTGACGCGCATGGCCACCAGGAGCAGCCCCACGGGCAGGGCGGCCAGCATGTCCCGCGGCTGGGCGAAGACCAGGCCATCCCGGTTCTCGAGGTCGGCCCACGTGTGGTTGGGCGGCAGCCAGAACTTCTCCTGCCACAGCCACTGGCTCAGGCTGGACAGCATCCTGCGGACAGAGGGCGCGTCTATGCTGGCTCGGCGGCAGGTGTGGGCTCATCCAGCCTCCTCCTTCCCCATTGGCCCACATAATGCTCCCTCCTTCCCCATTGGTCCACATGATGCTCCCTCCTTCCCCATTGGCCCACGTGATGCTCCCTCCTTCCCCATTGGTCCACATGATGCTCCCTCCTTCCCCATTGGTCCCCCAGCTGCCCTGCGACGGGGTGGACCTCCTCGAGTCCTGTCCTAGGAGCTCTGTCTGGCCTCAGAAAGGGGCACCGTGGTCACCGCCCCACCATTACCCCTAAACTGCCTGGCAAGGAATTTATCCTGGCCAAAAAAAGTAGGTATGATGGGACCAGCAGATGGCTATGGTTAGGTCACTGGAGCCCCACACAGTAGGCTGTGGTTCGAGTCCTGGACCCAGTGGCTTAAAACACACAAGGCGAATCTGCATGCCTGCCCACGATTCTGAGAGGTGACTGGAGGAAAAGGGTTTGTGGCGTGGCCATCGCCCCTGGGGGGTGATTTCTTGCTTTCTGTCTCCCTGCCTCTCTGGTGAACGCATACACTCTATAGCAAAAATCTCTTTACAAAAAAAAAAAAAAAACAAGTATTAGCGGAGACCAGCAGGTGGCCTGGTGCTAAGGTACTGGACTCCCACATGGCTGACCACAGTTTGAGTCTTGGATCTGGTGGCTTAAAATTCTCACTCTGGGCTCGTGTGCATGTGTCAAAGATCCCAGGAGGAGAATGGAAAAGGGATTGTGGCCCGGCCATCCTCTCTGGGGAGTGATTTCTCACTCTTTCTCTTCCCGTCTCTGTTTCTCTGGCAAATACACCATACTGTATAGCAGAGATCTCTCCAAAAATCCCAGGTACGGGCTGTGTGTTCCCAGGCAAATGACCCAACTTCTCTGAACTTCAAGTTGGTTGTAAAGCAGCAACAGTAAGAGTTGGCAGCTGGCGTGGTGGGTAAGGGCACGGGTCTCCCACGTGGCCAACAGCAGTTTGAGTCCTGGACCTGGCAGCTTGCTTTCTCACTTCCCTCTCTCTCTTCCTCTCACTCTGTCCCTCCCTGGTCCAAATAACTGACTAGCTAGCTAACTAGATAAATAAATAAGACTAAATAATGTTAGATCAAATATTTTTAAAATTTTATTCATTCATTCATTTATTTTAATTTGACCAGAGAGAGAGAGAGAGAGAGAAAGAGAGAGAGAGAGAGAGAAGGAAAGTAAGAAAGCAAGCCACCAGGCCCAGGACTTGAACTATGGTCAGCCATGTGGGAGTGTCCAGCACCTTAACCACCACACCACCTGCTGGTTCCTTTTAAAATAATTCTTAAAAAAATAATAATGAAAGAGAAGAAAATCAAGCAGGGCACTTTTGCATACACACTCATGATTGGCCCTGGGAGAAGAATGGAGGAAAAGAGGTTTTGACATGGCCTTCCCCTCTGGGGAGTGATTTTTCACTTCCCCTCTCATTCTTTAAAAAAATTATTATTATTATTATTATTTTATTTAACTGTATTTATTTTATTAATTTCCAGTTTGATCAGTCAGAGTGAAAAAGAGAGAGAAAGTGAGAAAGCAAGCCACCAGGTCCTGGACTCGAACTGTGGTTGGCCATGTGGGAGTATCTAGCGCCTTAACCTCCACGCCATCTGCTGGCCTGTAATAAAATAATTCTTTTATTTTGGAGAGGTTTTTGCTACAGGGCATGTGTGCGTCAGAGAGACAGAGAGACAGAAAGCGAGAAATCACCCCTCACGGGGATGGCCACGCCACAATCCCTTCTCTATTCTCGTCTCAGGATCTTGGGCATGCATGCACATGCGCCCGGTGTGGGTTTAAGCCACTGGGTCCAGGACTCGATCCACGTTTGACTGCGTGTGAGTCCCGCGACATAGCCATTATGCTAACGGCTGGTCCCTATTAATTCATTTTAATTTGACCAGAAAAAGAGAAAGAGAGAGAGAGACAGAGAAAGTGAGAAAGCAGGTCGGGGACTCGAACTGTGGTTAACCACGTGGGAATGTCCAGCGCCTTACCCACCATGCCACCTGCTGGCCCCCTGTTTCGTTTTCTTTTAGCACTAAATTGCATGTACTAGACGAATACACCCCAGCTGGCCCATCATTGCTTGTTGATGGGTATTTGGGATGTTTCCCGCTTTGGGTGGTTACAAGCATAGCTGGGGGACCAGCAGTTGGCGTAATGGCTATGTCGCTGGACTCCCACGTAGTTGACCACGGTTCAAGTCTTAGACCTGGCGGCTTAAACTCATACCAGGCACGTGTGCGTGCATGCCCAAGATCCTGAGAGGAGAATGGAGGAGAAGGGATTGCGGCATGGCCATCCCCCCTGGGGGGTGATTTCTCGCTTTCTGTCTCTCTATCTCTCTGTCTGTCTGGCGAGCGCACACGCCCTATAGCAAAAACCTCTCAAACACCCCCCCCCCCAAAAAAAAAACAAGCATAGCTGGGGCGAGCAGTTATTGTAATGGCTATGTTGCTGGACTCCCATGTAGTCGACCAAGAGGAGAATGGAGAGCATAGCTGGGGCGAGCAGTTATTGTAATGGCTATGTTGCTGGACTCCCATGTAGTCGACCAAGAGGAGAATGGAGAGCATAGCTGGGGCGAGCAGTTATTGTAATGGCTATGTTGCTGGACTCCCATGTAGTCGACCAAGAGGAGAATGGAGAAGAGGGGATTGCAGCGTGGCCATCCCCCCGAGGGGTGATTTCTCACTTTCTGTCTTTTTCATGAACGCACGTACCTTATAGCAAAAACCTCTTAAAAAAAAAAAAGCAAAATAGTCGTGTGTGTCTTCCGTGTGAGTAATGTTTTCATTTCTCCTGGGGGCCGCCTTAGGAGTGGCTGTGCTGGTCCTGCGGGAGTTGCATGTTCAGTTTACTATTGGAGTGTTGCTAGAAAGCATGAATTACATTGTTGCCGCAGGGTATTGTGACAGAGTTGTTAGAGAGTATTATGACATTGTTGCTAATGGGCATTGTGGACATTGTTGCTCAAGTGTACTAGGAGAGTGTTTCTGATGGGTTGTGACATTGTTGCTGATGTGAAATGCCATGTTTGTTCCTCTACTTAACAATTACACAATTGCTTGTCAATTTCCCGAAAATACAAAGTAACAGCATTTATCTGGCATTTGCATCAGGGTACCTATTCAGGTCTGAGCATCCCTAATCCGAAATGAAACATCTGAAATGCCCCCAAATCCGAAACTCTTCTTAGCGCAGTGATATGACACAAGTGGAAAATTCACACCTGACTCCTTATGATGGATCACGGTCAAAGCAGGGTGATACAGAAACACCCTGTGCAATTACCTTCAGGTGGGGCCAGCAGGTGGCATGGAGGTTAAGGCAGCGGGATCGCTCCTGGCCGACTCTGTGGTTCATGTCCCAGACCTGGTCGGGCTGGGCATATGTGCGTGCATGCCCAGAATCTCAAGAGGAGAAGGAATTGCAGCATGGCCACCCCTCCTGGGGGATTGCTCACCTTCTCTGTTTCTCTCTGGCAAGTGCACGTGTTAGAAGTTTTGAGGGCTCTGTTGGGACTGCTTGTCTCTCTTTCCTTCCTTCCTTTTCTTTTTCTCTCTCATGGACGAAAGGAATACATTTCAGGACCAGCAGTTGGCGTAATGGTTACATCGCTGGATTCCCCCACAGTTGACTGCAGTTCAAGTCCCACACCCGGCAGCTTAAACTCATGCCAGGTGCATATGCATGCATGCCCAAAGTCCAGAGAGGAGAATGAAGGAGAAGGGATTGCTACGTGGCCATCCCGCCAGGGGGTGATTTCTCGCTTCCTGTCTCTCTGTCTCTGTCTGTCTCTCCAGTGAGCACATACACCCTATAGCAAAAATCTCTCTCAAAAAAAGAAAAGAAAGAAAGGAAGGAATAAACTTAAACCGAGCAAACAGCTCAGTTGTCACTTCCTCCTGCGGGCACCCTGATTGTCCCCACCCTGGACCCAGTGAAGGAACCCTCTGCTAGCTCTGTCTTGCTCATGGTGGTATGGGGAGCTGGCCAGGAAGTCTTTTGAGTGTGGGAAGGAAGGCAGGTGGAGAAGCAAGCCTGACCTGTCTGGAATTCTAGTCCCTCAGGCCAAATAAGCCCAGCCTTTCTCGGCCCCCAAGGCAGAAAGGAAACCAAAATGCACTTCTCAAATCAGACAGCCTTCCCTGGGGACTGCGGACTGCAGAGCCTTGGCCCTGGAAGCCCTGTTCTCTGCTCCCCTGTCTCTGCTCCCCAGCCCCTGGTCTCTCTCCAAGCATAAATAAGAGATGGGCGGCTGGAGATGGGGACAGTCTGGAGCCCAGCAGGCTGGCCAGAGTCCCGGCTCCGATGCTGCCGGCTCTGGAAGACCTTTTTCTCGGCCCACTGATGGGGTGGATGCCCTCTCTGAAGGGGGAGGTCAAGGGACCCTGGTCCTGAACAGGTAGGCATGGCCAGGGACATAGGAGGGGCTCGGGTGTGACTGTAACCAGGCGCCCCTGGCCAGGAAGACCCCAATGCTCTTCTTCTTTATTGTTTTAAAGGATTATTTATTTAACTTTATTTGTTATTATTTTTTAATTTAACCAGAGAGAGAGAGAGAGAGAAAGGGAAAGTGTGAAAGCAAGCCGTCAAGCCCGGGACTTGAACTGTAGTCGGCCACGTGAGAGTCCAGTGCCCTTAATCGCATGCCACCTGCTGCCTCCCCTCATTTCTCTTCTTCTTCTTTTAAAAATTATTTGACTTTATTTATTTACTTATTTTAATTTGACCAGAGAGGGATAAAGTGAGAGAGAAAGAGAGGGGGAAAGTGAGAAAGCAAGTCACCAGGTCTGGGACTTTAACCATGGTCGGCCATGTGGGAGTCCAACACTCCTAACCACCAAGCCACCTGCCGCCCCCTTCATTTCTCTTAAAGGAGGGGAGGTGGGACCAACAGGTGGCGTGGTGGTTAAGACACTGGACACTCCCACATGGTCAA